GGATTTTGGGGTTTTTTTTTTTTTTTTTTTTTTTTTTGTCAAAACGACCCTATTCTGAGATTAACAGGTGGGCACCTGTGTGATGTTTCTTTTAATTCCAGAGGTTTGCAACCTTCATAATCCAAAGAGTAATTTTTTCCCTCAGTCCAACTAACTAAAACTCTTTTAGAGCCGTAAATGTTACACAACCCTTCAAAAAAAAGACCATCTCTAATTTTCTATATCTACAACAGCTGTCATTTTTAACACCAATCATTTTATTTCTGATTTTATGTTCTAAGTATTATTGTCAAACAAAGACAATATACACATTTTCTCCTTTGGGTTGTTGATATTTGTGGAAAATTATGTAAAATTCATTGTAATTATTACATGAAAAAAAAAAATTAAACTGCATTTTCTTTTACTACATTGGTAGTTGCCATATCTAAACAACCTTCCCAACAAAACAATTGTAATGGTATTTTTGTCCACTGCAAGATTTACAGAAAAGTACATGTAGATGTTTTTACTCGTCTTCTCTCCAAACAAACCAAAGAAAATGCTAGTGAGTGGAAACATAATCAGTTTTCGCCATGTGTCCCAACCTTTAAAATCCTGAATGAAATACAGAACAGGTGTTCAGCAACCCAGCCACAAGTAGTTCATCAGAGTGTGAAGCGCTCTTCTTCGTTGGTAGTGGTACTCTGTTTGTCTTGAGCCGGAGGAAAAGTACAGCTGACCTACAAAGGGTCAGATGCATCATTGACATTGTGTTGAACCACAGCATGATTTTGCCAGAGTGACTAACCTTTAACCGAGGCCTTACCTCTGTTCTCAAAAGCAGCATCCACTCTGTGACCAATCCCAGGCAGATGCCTGTGGATGAATTTGGGGTAGCCACGGTCCATTCTGCGCCACCCTTCGTTGTAGCTGTGCGGAGAAAATTCTTTTAAATGAAAGAACTCTCTGGATCTGATTTCAGGCCTCCTTGTCGCGTCATTCACCTCCAGTATTTGTTGTTTACAAAGAGAAGAGTTCTGCTTATGGAGGACACATGAACAGCAGCATCCACTTTGGGGACTGACGAAGGGAAGCCGAAGTCACTGAGACGTTTGGGATAATCAGGCAGGACGGTTTTACCTCGAAACTGCCAGTATTGATTCCCTGAGACAAGAAGGTAAGGTTATGGGTTAGGTTAGACTGGCATTTTTTATTTATTTGTCTATTTATTGATTCCTTAACATTAAATTTTTATTTACAGGTAATTCATACCTTCAAAGAAAATGACAGTATTCCTCTTCTTATTCTCATAAGCTGCGTCAACTTTGCGGATTCCAGGCCAGACAGACTGAATTTTATGCCTGGTGATGCCCTCCCAGCGGCCGCCCTTTCTCCAAAAATATCTGAAAAAAGCAATAAGGCAAAAAAAATAAATAAATAAATCAAATGAAAAATTACGATAAAATTACAATTTAGTGGAAAAACAAAAACAAAACAAAAAAAAACTTTGTGGCAATTTGTGCGATTTTGTTGTTTCTTCATTAGAATTTAGGTTAGTTAGTTAAATTATTGTAGGAAAAGCCTCACCCGTCTTTAAAAAAGAAAAGTTTCCCTCCTATTGTGGTCACTGCATCAAACACCAGGTCCCTGTTGCACCTGTCCAGAGGAGGTCCTGATGTTGGCTCAGGCTGTGGTTTTGGGAGAATATCTGATCTGACTCCTTTAAGAGAGGAACATCGGAAGAGCAGGTTATCAGGAATTCTGCTTCATTCCTCAATGTTCTCGAGTGTCTGCAGTCGATTAGTTCTTACCGTAGAGAGCCTGCACACCTTCCCTGTCATCATCTGGCAGTGTGTATCCGTCCGTGTCCACATATTTGTAGGTGGGGAACATCAGGGCCATCTCATCCTGAGAGTGAACCAGCCCTAGTGCATGGCCAAACTCATGTGCAGCAACTAAAAACAGGTTGGCTCCTGGAAAAACACACCATTGAGGTCAACGTGGGTGCAGGACAGCATTAAAAGAGAACCACAATCAAATCTCAAAACATTGATCTTGCATGAGGGATAGATTTCTCTGCCCTCAAAGTGAAATAACTTGTTTTTAGCTTTTTTGTCGATGCGTTTTGGGGGTCATTGGTTCTTGAAGTGCACTGTTAAACTGTCTGGTTGTTTATTAGCCTTCTGGGAGAAAAAGTTGGTTCAGACCAAATTTGGAGAGATTATATCTAACAACTGGCTCCGGATTTCATTGGAGTAACTGGGGAGTGGAAAATCTGGAGCCCCTTCCAAGACACTACATGACTTGATCTCTAAAAAGCCCTCAATGGATGGATAGATGGATCCACTTTTGGATCTCGTCTTATAATGTTTCAGTAAAAGTGAATCTCTTTTAAAATGTTTTCTAACAAGAAGATAAATTCATTCATCCTTTACCTTCTGAGGTCAGAGTCCAGTTTTCATCCTCGTCAAAGTGGGCATCCCCTCCGTTGCCCTCTCCAGGAGAAAACGCATGTGCCAGTACACCATTCTGACGGTCAAATGGAGCAAAGTCCCCATGGTCTGCTTTTCAAAAGAGATGTGGATTAACACTAAAACAAGCACATTAAAAAGACAAACAAACTTGTGGAACATGGTCACCTCCAGACTTGAACTTAATCATGATGTCAGCTGTTTCACTGTCAGACTGCTGGAAATCCAATGGAATAATATCACTGTACAGCTTGAAGGCTTTGGCTATGGTGGAGTCGACGTCCCTTTGGCTCATATCTGGTGTGTAGTCGGTAATCCTGTGTTAGAGTCCAACTGCCCTGTCACTTCCAGACCAAAGAATTCCTGCATTTTTCTTAACGTGTCATTGAAAGAGTCCAGAGAACTCCGCATGACAGAGGAGGGAGAAGCGACCCCGACTTCAGAGAAAAACTGAGACAGGTAGTTCTGGAAACATTTTAAGAAGGCCAGTGAAATAGAAAGCCAGTCATGCCATGAAGATTATCTTAGATTAAACATTTACGTATTTAATAAAGTTATCTCAGTTGTGGGTATGCAAAATATGCAACACATAGGGGTGCCACGTTGAGTGGGCGCCAGAGCGATGGCAGAAAAATTATTTCTAGTCGGCATTTTCTGTATTTAATAGTTGTCTGATATGAGCTCGATGTTCAGGAGGAGTGTGCCAGATGTCACGGTTGGAAATTGGGAAAATGGGGGTTTCCCATCAGACCATCAGTTACCAAAACCATATACAGACACACACACGCACGCACACAGACAAAAAAACAACTGGTGAAAGCACACAAAGGGTCAGTGCAACCCTGCCAGTCTGCGCACAGGGTAAAAAGCTTGTAGGGTCCAAATGATGTTGGTCACGGTACTAGATCAAAATTGTTGGCAAATTAGCACTCAAATCTGAGCTCAATCACTCTGTTTAGGTTTGATCTTCATTTTTTAAAAGTTGAATTATATCAGCTACACAAAAATGTAATACAGAAAATACATTCACATTCAACATATATACGGATGTAAAATCTTAAAATTTCTGAAAATGAGTTTGAATTGTCAGCGGCCCAAATAACCGTCCAAATAAAATATATACCTATATTCAAAGGTGTCTTTGAGAACATGATTTGTTCTTAATCAGGCTCAAATGCGTTTAATAATAAAAAAAAAACAACATGTTTTCTATCCATTGCACAAGGTTTCAAGTTGACACTGGTTAGATTTAACACGAGCCAACGAGGCATAAGGCAGCTTGTCTTCGTTACCTGGGCTTTGGAGAGACTTTCTTGACGGGGTGAAGAGGTGGGCATGGCTCCACAGGTCGCCGTACACACCAGAATCATCGCAGCTTTTACAGCGTTCATCGAATCCATTGCACTTTCCTTCCAACGCAAAAGCAAAGGAGAACCTTTCAGGTCTTCTTCACATGAAGAGCTCCAGTGAAAGTAGGAGGCAGCACGAGTTGCATAACTGGGCAATAAGACATTCTTTCAAGCGTTTGAACAGGTCTGTTTTGTTTAACCGTTAACTGTTGACTGGGAGGATTCAGAAAGAGGATTTTTTTACAAGTAAAATGTATTTTCTCACACTGATTTACATGCCAATAAATTCCCTGTTACGGGCTTCGTGAGGGCAGAAAACATGACGCTAAAATCTTTCACTTGCATAACTCCTGGGTCTAAGGTGTCATATTTCAGTCTCAGTCTGATTTCTTCAGACTTTGTTGGCCTCTATAGTCCCTACAGTTGTTATAGTATAGTATAGTATAGTATAGTATAGTATAGTATAGTTCGACAGGCAGCTTCTACACACATTATGGTTGAGAGTGAGCTTTTTAATTCAACTTAAAGCATGCACAAAGACAAATCACACTTCTAGGATTTCCCCAGGAAATGATCACAAATCAAACTCCCTCCAAAAGAAGGCAGGCACATTTTGCACTGAAAATAATGCAATGTGAATTTTTAGAATGTAAATTATTACCACTGTGAGTGTAAGAGTGGTCTTTTTTGTCCGTGATGCTTCCCACTGTCTCTTTTCGACAGTAATTTTTCCATCACAGTGGTCTGAATACGAACAGAATTAGATGGGAACGATTGGAACAAAGTGCTTTTGTACAGATTTTAAAGTAGAAAGGTGGCAGATTACATCAAAATGGCGAAAGAGACCAGCTTGTCCGTCTTTCTTGACTGGCAGATTATTCAAAAGGCAGAGGTCAGATCAAGACGGCTGCATGTCAAGTAACTGGCCTTTTATTACTAATCAAAGAACTGATTTTGCTTGGAAAATTAGTAATGTATCTATTTTTTCTCAATAAGTATAAACTTATGTTATATGCAGAGTGCAATATGCTTTTGGTGAACAACAAAAAGCACACTTGACTGTTGAGTAATTCTAGTTCAAAATAGACTTTAGTTACTTTGTTAGTTCCTTAATTTATGTTTTGGTTTTGTGATTTAAGCTCTGCTAGAGAGAAATGGGCAGGCCATGAAACATTTTTGTGAGTGTTGGAACAGACCCTTTTCAAACCAGGAGAAAGATAGCAGCACCTCGTCATTTTTAATTTATTTATTTATGATTCTGGGTGCTTTTCTAATTTTCAGGATTGTCTTGTTTCGAAAACAGCACTAATTTAAGATTATGATATTTCCTTCTTTTTGAGCAGCAACTTTCACTTTTTTTAATCTTGTGATTAAAGCAAAAAAAAAAAAAAGGTGTTAATTTAGATTGGGGACGCCTCCACCAATCTGGGGAAAGAGAAATGCTTTAGAGTGAAGTACAGAGGGAGCTGTGAGACCAAAAAATATGACAGAAAACACGTCAACGCCGTTGTTTCATCTGTTGACTCATTTGATTATTCATCTCCAACAGTTCAAACTGGCACTGAACTCTTTGGAAGGCATCATGTCTTATATTTCCGTCATTTACCAGCTGCACATTGGAGATCATGACGAAGACTTGGACAAAGTGCTTCTCAAACATCCGTCTTCATCTTGAGCCGTGTCGGATTTCTAATCTTGCGTGTGCTTTATTGGAAATTTCTGTGAAACACCAACGCAAAGTAGTACGATGCTGTCAAGTGGGAGAGAAAGGATATATCTTACTTTCATTTTTACAAATAAAATGGTGTGTATTTGCTTTTAGCTCACTCTGCTGATACCCCTAAATAAAAATGTGGGAATGTTCTTGTGAAAAGAAATGATGACCATAAAATGTCGAATGATGATTCTTTATTCTTTATTCACACTTTCATTGGACAAATAATGTTTACAGCTCCAACTAAGTGATGACATTTCTTATTATTTTTGGTTATTTTTTTAATTCAGAAGAGTGTATGCCTACATTTTATCCCACCACCTCTACATGAAGTACATTCTTAGATAAGATGAAAAGCTACGAAATGACAAAAATGAAGCGCCTTAAGCTAATTACAGCCAAGAAGGTAGGTGCTCTTCAGCACACGTAGCAACTTCCCGTTCCCCAGGTCATACATGTACATGTAGGGGCCACTGTAGATGTGAGCATAACCTGAAAAACAGAGACTAAAGGTTAGACTCTTTGATGCCTGGAAATAAGACCTAACTCATCAGACTCGACCCCCCTGAACGGATAAGCAGGTATATCCAAAGGCTGGATGGCTTGTATGCCCATATTTAGTATTAAAGTTGAGTTTGATAAGTGTAGCATGACCGAAATGAGGAAAAACTGCTGACATGGCAGAATGAGTCAGCTGTTCCTGTCAGTCGTGTTTAAAGTTTGAATATTGGGCATTGTGGTCATCATGGGAGGCTTATATGCAAGTTGATGCAAGTTAAAGTCAGTACACCTGGCCATTTCATTCCCCTGTTGTACTACAGCTGTTAGGGTGACTCAGAAACTCAGAAACTTGACAAATGAGCATTTGTACAAACTAGCATTTACAGTAAAGATAATATCCCTTAGATGTTAATGCTGATGCTTTAATTCACCTTCTTTCTCGGTGGCTGCTGCCACCTTGTTGTTTATTCCAGAAAACGTCTGGCTCACCCAGGACAACGATTCCACAGCCCTTCTGCTTTCATCGTAACTATAGCAAAAACAACAAAAAAAAAAGGTACAGATGCATAAAACCAGGGCAAATAAATGGTCCATGCTGAAAATGGAGTTCAGTGCACATCTGACTCACGTCAAGTAGAAGTAGCCCCCCCAGAACAGGTAGGTTTTCCCAGACCGAGCACTGTGAAAAGCAGCGTCGATTTTCGTCATAAATCTTGGCAGACCGAATTCAGAGAGGGACTTCGGGTAGCCCGGTACCGGCTGGGTTCCAGAGAAGGCCCATACTTTAGAACCTTTAAACAAAACGGGGGCATCAGTGAATGACTAATGTTAACTGTGAAATAGGACTGATCCAGTGAATGACAAGGGAGGATTATTACCTTTGAAAAGTAAGACGTTGCCAGTCCCTGGGTTCTCGTAAGCAGCATCTACGCTTGTTGGGGCGTTGGGCCAGAAGCTTGAGATGAGACTTTTTTGGGGTGTGCTGCTCTGGGAGCTGCTATGCCACAGGTAGCTGAGAGCAGACATGAACATTAGCTTTAGCTGCTAATGCTAAGGAACGAGGCGCTTCAAAGTTTTGATGTAGATGTCAGTATTTTGCCATGGGGGGTGGATGTGTGATACCTGTCCTTGAAGAAAAACATTTCTCCTTTCAAGGTGGTGACAGCGTCAAACTCCACAGGTGAGCTGCAGACATCAGGGATGGTGGGAGCCTGAGTTGTAGTTGTGGTGGTGTCTCCAGAAGGACTTGAACCTGTTGTAGTTGTTGTGGTGTCTCCAGAAGGATTTGAACCTAGGGGTGAAAAATTTCAGCACAATTAATTTAAATCCATAATTTCTTGTTCACAGAATTAGGTATAATCAGCATCTTTTTTTTATTTTTTTTTACAAGATTCTTAACAATGGTTTGAACTTTCCCCAGCTATGTAATTTTTTTTTAATTAAGCACTAACCATAAAGCGACTGGATGCCTCTGACATCATCCTGGGGCAGAACAAAGGTGTCTGGGTCTTTGTATGAGTACAGAGGGTACATGAGAGCAGAGCGATCCTCAGAGTGGGACAAGCCCAGAGAGTGGCCGAACTCATGGGCAGCGACCAGGAAGAGGACGTAGCCTAAAGCAGGAAAGTACATAAAGAAATGGTCGTCTTGGCCAATTTCTACAAAGAAAACAAAGTTGCTTCCCAAAATAATGTATAATTGACCGACATACCTGTGCTTGAGCGAAATGTGAAGGTCTCGTCATCGTCAAAGTGAGCGTCCCCTCCGATGTCAGGAGAAGGAGCGAAGGCGTGGGCAAGGGTCCCGTCAGGCCCGTCAAAGGGGTAATTATCACCGTGTGCTGTTCGCAGAAAGTGTCTGATTAGTTTGCAAACCTTGTTTGATACAACCGTTTCAAACATGTTTAATGTTTGTTAATCTTTGTTGTGAAGAGTAATACACAGCAAAGTCTTTGCTGTTTTAGTTTCTCCCTTTTGATGGAGCCACTAAGGATGTAATCTGACTCCCTATGAGACTCTACAAGAAAATTTGCTTCCACTTACATAGGCGAGCAAAGGAGATCATGATGTCAGCCGTGCCACTGGTAAGTTTTGTGAACGTCAGAGGAGTGACTTTGGCCCAAACCTCCAGAGCTCTTCGAATGGAGTCATCCACCTCTGCCTGAGACAAGTCGGGGGTGTAGTCCACAATCCTGTTTAAAAAAAGAAAAAAAAAAACAGTCAACCACATCAGTACCATCACTGGATATGACATATTTTACTGTACAGGTCCTCTTCAGACCATCCACCTGTATGTGACGGTGTTTTTGTTCCACTTGAGGCCATCTCCAAAAGTCGAATATTGGGCAATGTTTTCATCTGCGACGCCACAGCGGGGCTTCTTCATCATCTCCAGGGTGTTGTCGTCCAGAGTGCCTGTTATCCGGAGACCAAAGAATTTCTGCATCTCACTCAGCTTCTTGCTCATTCGGTCGGCTCCTTTCCGAGACAACGGGTCTTTCTCCTCTGTCAGGTTGAAGAATCTCTTCAGGTAACCCTGTGAAAGGACACAGCACAACCCAATGTGAAGTCAATGAAACTGAAGGAATTGTCCAGGACAGAAAACAAAACATACCTTTGCAAAACCTTCATCTTGCACCGTTACTTTGGAGACAGGCACACAGTAGACTGCGGCTGCGAGGCCTAGTAGCACATAGACACCGAGAGACTTCATCCTTCTTTCCTGAGTTGGTTCGTAGTGATTCCCACTGGAGTCAGCTGTTATATAGGGTGGATGGTTTGGGGAGTAGACAGGTTAAGCAACCGTCTTCTTGGGACAGAAACACAGGAAGTATTGCATGGATCAAAAGGGATCAATGGATCAAAGCAGAGGAAGATAAATCCAGAAAAAAAACATCTGTAATTAGGACAAGACGTCATACGACAGCGGCATGACAAGACTGATTGCTGAAGTAAATGTAATTCCATAATTAAGTCAGTTTAATAGTATTGTGAAACAGCCAGTAATTTGTACTGTATAGATTTCATTTAAATATTGATGTAAAACTGAATTGATGATTTGAATACTTTTTACTTTGATTTTAGTTTGTATTTGATTATGTTTCTAATTAAAATCACAGATTATTTATACCAAAGGCATCGTCTTCGTAGCTAAGTTACATTGACCTCTGTTTGCCCTTTCTCGAACACCCTGTTGTTTTGTAACATGTTTTGCCCTCTTGACATGCTAACCTGGAAACACACCACGAATGCATCACAGAAGCCTGTCAGGTGTTTTTTTTAATTGTCTGCTCCATGTAGGTCAATTCCAGGAATCCAAAGATCACAAATGTCTACCCTGAGGCTCCTGGCTCTGCCGATAAGTCACTAATGGAGTCGGAGTGCCAATCTGGACAAGCTGGGTCATGCCGTGAACAAAAGCTGCCCTGCCGTCTACACATTTTAAAGTTTTCCATAAGCCAAACCACAATTTGAGCCCTTCTGATTGTAGTGCAACTGTTGCAACCTGAAAAAGATGTAATACGAATGCATGCTGTAAGGCATTGTGTGCTTATTGGGTACATTGTGCACAAAGTAATTAAGGTTTAGCATGGTTCTCTCCAGTTATCACTATTGGACTGCAGTTTTCCATCAGTACATCATAAAGTCCTGCGTCACGAAAGAATATCCCATTGTAACACCTCAATCCTTTTGTCCCAGACTGCATTGCAGTTACTGTTTCATAACAGTGGACACCGGGAGGGGCAGAACCGTCTTCATTGTGTAAAACGTCTCAGTTCTGATTGAATAACACATGTAAACACGCTGTGTTGAAACAAGAAACTGAAACCCGATAAATTGATAGACATTCATGCTGCTGTGATACATAAATCTTCTGCTGTTACCAGAAAACGCTGCATGTAGCTGTGCATTTCCTGTGGTCTACAACAAAATCGGTCACATCCTTGTTTCTCTCTGATCACACGATTGACTATTTTTGATGAAGTGACGAAACTCTCGTCTATCAGTCGTGTCTTAGCGTCTTATTTTAGCCCCACTACTCATTCGTCACCAATTGTGACTAAATATGTTGTGGTTATGACTACAGGAATGATATCCGCACAGAGAAATACCCCTCCCACACAACTTTACTCAGCTGTTTTTCTTTTGTTCAACACAATCCTTAAACGTAAAGATGACTAATTGTCGGATTAAAATCACATCATAAACACCTGATGCTTTGAATCACAACAGGACGTACGAAACGTAAACCTATGAGTTTTATTGATGAGATATCTGGAGTAATTTAAGTAAAAGTGTATTTGAATCGAAATCATGGCTTCACAAGACTGGGTGAAGCTGTGTTCGTCAAGACACTAGATTGCTAATTTCCCCAACATGTTTATGAGTGTGTGATGATAGAAAGAAATGCACTGCATGTCTGGAGTGAGAGACGACAGAACATACAAAAACATCATGAATACGTAAAAGAAGGGCAGATTATGTCACCTAAACCTGATTTTAGAATTTTTACTATGATAAATTGATTGTATGGTGTGTGTAGTGGAAGTATAACTGTCTGAATCATCATTCCTGAAATTGCAAAAAAACGCTTTTGTAACTGTTGACCCTCTGTCCTTTAAGATACAGAACAACAATAACCAATGGAGAGTTAATACCACACACACACACACACACACACGCACACAAATGTACTAACATTTACGAGTTTGTATCCCTATCTTTATTAGGAGATTGTTTTGAGTTAATTTTACTTGCATAGTGTAATTCAAACCCTCACAAACCAAATTCATATTTTAGTCCTCACACCAACCTCCAAAGCAAAAGTAGATTTCCACCACAATGAGTTTCAGACCCATGAAAGTGATTATAACAGAAAAAGTTTTAAAGAGGTAACAAAAACCATAAAGCACAAATTTGCATTCATGAATCATTCAGTATCAAACCGACATGCTAACATTAACACCTCATAAAGATCCCAGTTCTTCAAATAAATATTTGTGAAAGATATGTGAAATCTAAAACCTCACAATGCTAAAATATGTGGTGAATTTTCAGACCAGCTTCTTCTTTTTGATGTGTTTTCCTCACAGAACCGTTGTTTTCTTCCTCACTCTTTGTTATGATATAGACTTTGTTATGTCTGTTTTAAGGGGAATGAAAACATCTTCCTAGACATCTTTATCCTATATTTACCCTTCTTCTGGATTTAAAATGTAAGAAATATACATATATATGTTTTAGTCGGTCTGGCTGTGTCATTGAAACACACAGTATGTTAGCATATTCAATATTCTGGAACTTTTTCATGTTACATCACAGCGCAATGAACCTTAGTTGGGGCCTGCCTAGCAATGCATGGCAGGAACCTATTGTTCTACACCCAATAAGCGGTCTCTTTATTTATTTTTCTTACGTCACTGTTAATGCGGCCCGAACCGCTGCGTGCACCCCCACAAAAGTGGTATCAAAACGTTCAGCTTGATCCCGAGAAGGGACCTATTACTTTTAGTGGGATTCTGAGTTAAAATGACTACATAAATTGAGAAAAACAAGAAAAATCGAGGCTGAGTGTCTCACAGAATCACTAACCTTTGTCTCTGAAACACACACACAGCACAGTGGAGGTCTGACTCCAAAACTCTGTTTAACTCCCCCTCACAGGCACAAATAGAGGCCTATTGATCTCAAAGTTGGTCATGACATAGATACATATGCCTGCTCCAGTAAAATGTTTTCAAAATTTTCCTAGGGCTTATGGTTTTTTGTCAGGGCCCTGAGACCGATGCTAGGTGTCTCACAAGTATAGAAACCAGCATCCTGCCTGACAGAGAGAGCCAGCACAGGTGCAGATAATTAATTACCATAGCAACGGGTCCTAGACAGAGGCAGTGAGTAATCTCACAGCGCTGAATCAGATCTCACAATGCATTGTGGGAAGAAAACATATTTCCTTTGACTATTCATGTTTTGCTTACATAAAATTATTACTTGTCTGAATTTTAGAGTGTAAATTAAAATCTTTACTATGAAAATTGAAATTGCTTTTAGAAATTAACTATTACCAACTTTCTTCATGTTTTTTATTTAGGACCATGAGTGACAATCACATGTGCGAAGCTTATAGTCGTCTCAGATTGAATTTCACTAATCCTCTGTTTTTCAGTGGCGTCACATATTA